CATATGTCTGGAAGGAAAGACTGGTTCGTCAATATAAAGCCCTCAATGAAAAATATGGAAAAATTTACAAATGACAATACCCTAGCAGTTGAAGGTATTGGTGATGTTATGATTATGAGGAAAGATGGCAAAAGGTAAGTAATATCCAATGTGTTGTACATACCAGGCATGAAGAGTAACTTTCTCAGTATAAGATAGTTGGTCGAAAAGAATTATAAAGTGTCAATCGAAGATAAGATGATGAGAGTCATTGATGCAAATGGGAGATTAATCTTGAAGGCTCATATGTATCAGAACCGAACCTTCAAGATTGAACTAAATGTGATGGAGCACAAGTGCCTTTCGACTGCAGCTAGCAGAGATGAATGGATATGGCATTATAGACTAGGCCATCTCAACTTCAGAGACATCAGAGATTTGAAGAGAAGAAATATGGTTTCAAGATTGCCAGAAATTGACATTCCAAACGAGGTATGTGAGGAATGTGTGAAGGCGAAGCAACACAAGAATAGCTTCAGCAAGGATGCAGGAAGCAGATTGAAGGCTAGTCTTGAAGTCATATACTCTGATGTATGTGGACCAATCCAGGTGGATTCGATGGGAGGTAACAAATACTTTGTTACATTCATAGATGATTTTAGTCGAAAGCTATGGCCTTACCTGATCAAGAAGAAAAGTGAAGTGATCAAAGTATTTACCAATTTTAAGTCTATGGTCGAAAGATAAAGTGGTCGAAAGCTCAAAGTTTTGAGAACTGATGGTGGTGGAGAATATGTTTCGAAAGACTTCGACAGATTATGTGAAAAGGAAGGGATTGTGCATGAGGTGGTGCCACCCTATACTCCACAACAAAATGGAATTGTAGAAAGGAAAAATTGAACCATCATGAATATGGTGAGAAGTATGTTGAAAGGCAAGAATTTACCTAAAGAGTTTTCGGGTGAAGCTGTTTCGACTGCAACATACATTTTGAACAGATGTCCTACAAAGAAGCTAGAAGGAATTACTCCAGAAGAATGTTGGTCTGGTGTAAAGCCTAGCTTGAGTGATCCGAAGGTATTTGGGTCTATTGCACATAGACATGTGCCAGATCAGTTGAGAATAAAACTTGATGATAAGTCAAGTCAAATGATTCTAGTTGGATATCATTCTACAGGAGACTACAAGTTGTTCGATCCAGTGAAAAAGCAGATTGTGATCAGCAGGGACGTGATCATAGATGAGTTTAAAGAATGGGATTGGACTGAAAATATCAAGAAAGATTTAGTGGGAATCCTTCTTGAAGAGCCAGAAACTCAAGTCGAAAGAGAAGTTCGACAAGAGGAACCAGCAGATATACCAAGTACAAGCAGGTCTCAAAGAACAAGACGCATGCCTGCAAGATTGCAAGATTGTGTGATTACATAAGATGATGTAATAGATAATGAAGGTGAGCTGGTACATTATGCTTTCTATGCAGATGTCGAACCCGTTAATGCAACTGAAGCATTAAAGGATTCGAAGTGGGTGAAAGTAATGAACGAAGAAGTAAAGTCTATCGAAGACAACAACACTTGGTAACTTGTTGAATTGCCTCAAGGCAAGAAGGCAATTGATGTCAAGTGGATATACAAAGTGAAAACGAATTCGAAAGGTGAAGTAACTCAACACAAAGCAAGACTTATGGCGAAAGGATTTCTACAGAAAGAAGGAATAGACTTCAATGAAGTTTTTGCACTTGTTGCTAGGATCGAAACAATCAGGTTGGTTGTTGGTCTAGCAGAAATAAACAGTTGGCACATATGTCAGATGGACGTGAAGTGTGCATTCCTAAATGTACCCTTAGATGAAGAAGTCTATGTTAAACAACCAGTTGGGTTTGTGAAACATGACGAAGAAAGAAAGGTGTACAGGCTACATAAAGCCCTGTATGGATTGAAACAAGCTCAAAGGGCTTGGAATAAGAAAATTGATATTTTCTAAGGGAGAAGGAATTTGTGAAGTGCACAACTGAACATGGAGTATATGTAAGAAGAAGCAAGAGTAAATTGCTTATACTATGTCTCTATGTAGATGATTTGTTGATAACAGGTATCTGTAAAAGTGAGATCGAAGACTTCAAAGGTGATCTCAGCAAGGAATTCGAAATGTCTGATTTGGGTGAGATTTCATATTTCCTTGGTATCGAATTCTAAAAGAGCAGTAGAGGTTTGATGATGCATCAAAGAAGATATGCAGGAGAAATTCTCAAGAGGTTTGAGATGGAAGAATGCAACTCAACTTCGACACCTGCAGAACCAAGACTGCAACTGTCGAAAGATGCAGATGAAGATGATGTTGATCCAACCCAATACAGAAGACTTATTGGATCTTTGAGATACCTTTGTCATACAAAGCCTGACTTAGCATATAGTGTAGGTATGGTAAGTAGATTCATGCAGAAGCCAAATGTATCACATCTAGCAGCAGTGAAGAGGATACTAAGGTATCTCAAAGGAACTTTCGATTATGGAATTTTGTTTCCTGCAGTTGATAAAGGAAAAGAATGCAAGTTAGTGGGATACACTGATTCGAGTTGGTGTAGTGATGTTGAAGATCGAAAGTCAACAGCAGGACATGTATTTATGCTAGGTGGTGCACCAGTTTCTTGGAATTCAAGAAAGGAACCAGTAGTGGCATTATCATCATGCGAAGCAGAATACATAGATGCTTCTCTCTGTGCATGTCAAGCAACTTGGATGGTGAACTTGGTCGAAGAGATAACAGGGAAAAATCATGGAGCAATTACCATGAAGATAGACAGCATGTCAGCTATTAATCTGGCGAAGAACCCAATAACACATGATCGAAGTAAGCACATCGAAATGAGGTTCTATTATCTTCGAGAGCAGGTAGCAGATGGGAAGATGAATTTGGAATACTGTAGAACTGAGAATCAGATTGCATACATCATGACGAAGGGAGTGCAAGTCGAAGTATTCAGAAAGCTAAGAGCCATGATGAACATAGATAGTTTAGACACAATGAATTAGGTGGTGTGTTAAATTGTAATCCAATGTGTCGAAACTATGTGTCGAAAAGATTTGATTTGTTTTAGATTTAAATAGATTTGATTTAAGTCTGGAATAAATTAGATTTGATTTAGTAACAAAAAGATATTTTGGGCTTTGGGCTTAGGGTGTAAGCTCAGTTATAAATAGAGGGAGTAACCCCTATTTTTGTAAGCAAGTCAAGCAAGTCATTCACAGTATTTTGCAATTGCAAAGTGAATAAGAAAGTTTTCACAGTTTGTGAGCAGAGAGAAACTCTGCAGAAATTATTTGTCTTGTCTTCTTTTTCTTTGTTTGTCTCATAATTAAATTGTCATTGTGGTAGAAATTCATCATAGACTTTGGTGGATTTCCAACAAATGTGCCTTCCTATTAGAGATGTTTTATATGATGTCAAAACTAAGACATTTTAACGTTTATGTATATTGGACGGTATCAACTTAGTCTTAATGTGCATCTTAGTATTAGGAAATTTAAGAATGATTTAGAAAAGGTTTCATACATTAAAAACAAATTTTTATGTGAAAAACATGTCAATGTGTCCACACATAATATTGTTATTGTGTTAATTTATTAAAGTCTTAACATATCTCTTAAAGGTGAGGACCGGAGATATTTTAGTTGAATCTTGATTGTTAAAATTATATAGTTTTGATTTCTAGATAAAGTAATATAGTAGGCTTCTTTAGCAACAAAAAGAAAATGGAATATTTTTGAAGAAAATGAATTTTTGGAAATTCATGAGAAATTGAAAACTTTGTTTAAAAAGTAATGACATTTGTACTTTTAAATTTTTGCACGGGAGGGGAGTTCTAACACCAATGATGGAGAAATATTTTGATTTCTAAAATTTATGTTTTTGGATGGAGGATAATTTTCGATAGGCCTCGATTAGATAACAACACACCCAATGAAGAATCATTAATGGTAATTTTGATTCTTGTTGTGTTTTTTGCTTTCGGGAGGCAGAAGTGTCCATCTTTTTTATTCTTGTGATGGTCAATAAATGGATAAGTATCTAGTTTAACTTTACTTTTCATGATTCTTCGTCTCTTATGTTAGCTATTCAATAGGTGAAGAGTTCCTCCATTAAAAATTTCATCGGGATTATTTGGCTAGTCACTTTATGGAATCTTTGGATATTGGAGAATGCTATCTTGTTTAAAGAGAGTAGTTTTAATTTCAATGAGTGTTTCTCTTCTATCATTTTTTTTTTGTCTTGGAAATGGATGGGGATGGTTTGTATTTCGTCTAATTATTGTAGTTATTTTGATTGGTTGAATTCTCCTTGTTTGATGAGGGTTTGAGTACCCCTTATACTCAGTTTTTATTGATATAATTTCATCGCTTATAAAAAAAACTAATGCTGAGTTGTCAAAGGCCAAGGAAATGCATAACAAACTCTTTGAAATTATGGCACTAGGATGTGGCAAGAGAAAAAAGAAACCCAGTTGGATGCTAACAGAATTGCAAGGGAAATACTATTTGAGTCATATGTAACAAAATTTGAGCAAATAAAAATATAAAATATTTGAGAGATACAATTAGTGTTCAAAAATTATTTTTCTATTTGGTCAATTTTCAACTTCTATATGACTAGTGTTTCAACTTCTAGTGTTTTTCAACTTCTAAATTTTCAACTTTTTATTTACTTGTCATATTAACACTTGTATATTTGAAAGGTATAATCATCATAGTCATCATAATGCTTTGTGCTAATTTTTAATTTTATAGATTCAGAAACTGTAGATTCTATGCAAAATAACAAATGCAATTGGTGTAGTTGAAAGAAGAAAGTGCAAAGCATAGTGTGCAAAGTTCACACACATTATTATTATATTTCAAAGAGAGCACACTGATACAGTAGTGGTAGTAGTGGTACACAGACAATAATCATAAACATACACTCATCACACCATCAATGTTATTTGAAAGCACAAACTCATAAAAATAAGAAAACCACACAAGTTTTCAAATAGAGATACTATTGGGAATTCCTTTGAAGGTTAAACCTTCTTCACTTGTTCGAACGAGCAAACTGTAGGGCAATTGCACTGGTCCGTAGCGGTTTTTCAAGCTAGAATCTTTGTTCCTGCTATGAATTTTCTCTTCAATTTCAGCTAGTTTGGTTCCAAACTTTGTGAAGGCTTGAACCGCCCTTGAATCAGATGTCCAATACTTGCTATCCCTCTCGCCGAGGTACACCTCATCAGAAGCATGTCTTGACAATATTTCAATCACGGAAAGATCAATAACAGTCTGGTATTTTGATGTAATTGTTTTCAGATAAGCCTTTTGAGGACTTTTCACCATCTCGTCGTATTCTGGAGTTCCTTTCTCTGGGATGAGTCTTCTACTATGAGTTGGACGGTTCAGGATATATCCTCCATAAGGATATTGTCCAAAGTTAACAGCTGCGTGAAGAGCAGAAGCAGTCCATATGATAATGGAGCAAGATAGAACCAAGTCTTCAATAGTTTGCATCTTAGGCCACCATGGCTTGTCCTTCAAGTCACCGTGACCCTTCTCTACAGCTTCCTTCCACCAAGGTTGTATTTCAGCGTCCTTTTGCACTGCTTCATCCGTTGGATAATATAAAGAGACGTAATCTTGGACCCATGCCTTGATAGCATCCCATATTTCTAGCCCATCAACAGCATAAGGGTAGTCTTCTATCGCAAGACGAAGTCCATGGGGAGAAGATGGATCCTCAACAGCTAATCCTCTGATCAAGCAAACAACTTTTGTTAACAATAGCAATTAACAAATTTCTCCTAATTTTTAGGATTGTGTTTTGGCAAAAAGAAAATACCTCTTAATAAGATCGGCTGGTAATGCTTGATCAGTGAAAACCCAATTCTTGTAAACGATTGAAGAAATCTCAACGGAGTATGGTCCGGGGAGAAATGTTTGCTCTATAATGCCATCGGCGTTGATTAGAGATTGTCGAGCAAGTCCATTGATATTGATCGTGTCACGGAAGTGAGGATATAAGAGCTTATTAATCGGGTGAAGCACACTTAGATGCCTGTTTGTTGCTATGATGAATGGTTCAATCACCGCATGAGTATTCAACCTGCAACGCCGTAATTAATATTTATGAATAAACATGTCATACATTGCATATACTAAAGTTATTTTGCAGAGTTCGAGTTCATACCAATGGCTCATGAGTTGATGATAGCATGAATCATTTACAATCACATGAGCCTTGGCCAATAGCCAAATTGTACTTTCAACACTGCCGTCTTCTGCAGGCAAAATTACTTTGCTTTCAGCACCATATTGAACCCCATTTGAGTGAGGCAGACTCAATTCAATGGCTATTGGCTTCAATGTTCCATCATCTTGCAAGAACAAGATTGTCCTTGTGGCATATGCCTTTGCGCTTATGTTTATCTTCTCCAGATACGGCATGAACGCGTCATGGTAATCTAAGACAAATAATCTCTTCCCGTTAAGGGCTTGTTCTACTGTGAGCTCGCCGAGGTTTGTCTCTAACTGTTCTTTTGTTATTGTACTAGACTGATCACCATATACAGCGGTATCTAGAGTACTTTTCAGCGGGAACTCCTGCGATATCAAAGAATAATTCAATGCGAAGAAATATATAAATATTTGGCAATTGACAACAAAATAGATAGATATCGTGGCTAATATTAAGAATCCATTTGGTACTTACTTGAAGAAGACGGATCACACAAGGATTTACACCAGCAACCATCTCTCTTCCAAATTCTTCATCAGTCATCCATGCAGATTTGCTAACTGTTCAAAAAACAAACGAGTTTTCTAATGTTGCCAATATACGAATGTGAGGAACATTTTATCTATAGGTAGGGCGACTAAGACGAACAATGTACCTTTGATTACATGAGGTGGTGGAAACTTGAGTGCTTGTTCGCCATCTGTGCGCAAGATTTCCTTAAGAGCCGGTAAAGGGGCAATTTGGCTAAGTATATCAGTAGGAAGCTTAATCCCGCCTTCATAAAGTCCACGAACATCATCGAAGCTATTGAACTCATCGAAAATCAAACTTTTAAGCAAAGGCATAACAGTTTGGGAAATTGATTTTATTCCATACATAAGAAAGTCCGATGACTTCAAGTGACCAAAATTTTCATCTCTCGGAACATAAATCTCACCCGGACTTTCACTCTTAAGATCTGTCAAGAATCAAATGCCATAAAAAAATCAAACACATCAATCTACACGGTCAATGACATTAAAAATCCACACTTCTGTCAAATAAATCAATTATTCAATAAATCTAAAAAATATTTTTTAATTTATAAAACTGACGAATAAATTCTTAGTATTACTTTTAATTGATCGAATCAAAATTATAAAATATAAAACTAACCTCTTCTGGTTGATTTTCTACCGCTCCTAACCCTGCGAGGGTAAGGATAGGTGCTAGACCCTCCAAGGATCGGACGAACAAGTTTGTCGCTGGAATCTGGATTTCCAAGATCATTATAAACATCATAATCATATATCCTATCATACACCTTGCGTTCACCGGTTCCATTTCCTCTTAGATTCAGCAACTCTTCTTTTCTAAAGTGAGTCAATGCAGATGGTGTTTGACTTGGAAGATATGTCTGTAACAATAATTTTAATATATTTTAAAAATTTTCGTCACTTGTTTGGCTGCTATTTTTATATAATCTTAATTATATTTTCATATTTAACTCTTAATTTAAAATTCAAATCTTACATCATTGGTGAAGAAGATCCTGTCCTTATTGTAGCTTTTGAAATTGTAAATCCATGAGTTACAAACAAACTGAACAGATCCACGATTAGGAATATCTTCAAGAGTCACACTGACAAGGAAGAACTCAGCAGACGTGTAGTTTCTTATGTAAAATGCTCCAGGGATTCCAAAATTTGCATCATATTCAAAAAATATACTGAATGCATCTTGTCTTGCTCCCAATGTTGGTAAGCGAGGTAGATGACTGCTCAAAAACGTTTCCTTTCCAACTTGTCCCTTTCCACCAGCTACAAATTTCAATCACACAAATAAAATTCCAAAATATAATATAATAAATATAAACTCTAAATCAATAAGAAAATGACACTTGTATGTAAAAATATATAAATAATATATAGTATATTATTATTATTATTATTATTATTATTATTATTATTATTTATTTATCATTTAGTAAGTTTAATGTAATACATTAAATGTTACACTCCTCTATTTATAATTTCTAGTTTTCTACCACCAAAGATAAGGTGGGGCCAAGTACAAGCTTGCAAGATATTAAATGATTGTGTGGTCATTCTAAAAGCTTACTAGTATATAGTTATGTTTAAATATTTGTCCATAAAAAAACTTGTAGAGATATGGAACATTAAGATAATGAGTTAGATAGTTGAAGGTTTTTTATTTATGGGAAGATATAGAAAACAAACCATCAGTTTTAGTGGCACTGATCAACTGCATGGAGACATTCCGGCCTAAGAAGGCAGTGGCAGTGTCAACAACTTCGCCGACAATGCCGGTGAAACCGCCGATGATTTTTCCGGGGGCGTCGAGAACACTGCCTTTAGGGATGGAAGTGATGGCGTTGAAGTCCAAAACATTTTTGGGCATCAACACCACAGTTCCCTTGATTTTCTGGCTCTTGTTAGGGTTCAAGATGCCAAACATTTTTGCAAACTCTTTTGATATTAAAATAATACTAGATGTTTGATAAGGTGTGCTGGAGAAAGAAGATTGGTGTGATTTGTTTATTGGGAAGATAAGGTATTTATAGATGAAAAATATAAAGTATTGTACTGCATTGCCATGTCATGTATATTTTTTGAATAAAAAATTGAGCTCCACGTGTCAAACGTGGTTGTATTTATTAAAATAATTGGTTTTATTGTTTGAGAGGAAGGACGATAAGGTGACAATGTAAACAATAATTGGTTTTATTGTCTTAATTAATTATATCACATGTCTTATTGATATATTTCTATTAAATGAATGTATAAAACTTTTTTAAATTCGATCTGCATTATGTTTTTATTAATAAAATGAGTTTATTTATTAAATATTATTTTAAATTGTGGTTTGCTAGTAATAAATAAGAATATAATAGTGTAAAAAATAATTAATATTTATAAAAAATACAAAATGATGAATAATTTAATACATGAAAAATAACAAATGAAAAAAAATTTAATAAGACAAAAGAAAATAAATTACTATAATTATGATAAACAATGAAATTATTTAAAATACATCTGATCCATTGAATATATCTGATATCCTATTTTTAATTTAATGTGGTACGATCAAAAATTTAATATATCGAACCGCGTAATTCCACTAGAAAATGATTCAAACACATCTGAATTAAATAAGATTTTTTACAGTTTTAATTTAATTCGATTCGATTTTACAATTTTTTATTGAATCGATTTAGTTTTGAACACCCTTACTACTAATAAAACTAAGTACTAAAAAAATTACTTCTTTTTAATCGTATAGTGTTATTATTCCTATTAAAATATTTTTTTAACCTATACTTAATTAATTGAACTTTTACTAATTAATTGAACTTTTACTATTTAATTGAACTTTTTCTTGATCTTTATTATTTATTTTGTGTATGTGCCTAAGCGTTATAGATATGGCGTTGTGACCATATAAGACATGCTTAATAAAATATCTCTTATAAATATATTATAAAGAATACATATATTATAAAAATACAATTTCTTTTTGGTTTGACTTTAGATAAAAGTTCTATTATATTATGGAAAAAAGAATCGTGTTCCTTTCTTTTTGTCTTTTTAGAATAAAATACATTATCATTTTCTTTTGTTAGGGGGGAGCTTACTAAGAGTATGGATATAGAGACAAATTATTTGTCTATTTAAAATTTTAAAATAATAAGTGAGTGGATTCTCTCATTTATATATATTCAAGTCACCACTTTCCTATTCAATGTGAGATTATTTCCCACTTACTCACACTTGTATTATTATTCTAACAATCACTATTTTTTAGTGTGTGTGACACTTTTAGTGAAGAGAGAAAGAGAGAATAATAAAGAAAATAACGATTTGTATTATTGAATTGTACAAATAATGATACAGACTAGGATTATTTATATACAATCCTAATTGAGTTTGGATCTACACAACTTGAATTATATTTAAATATTAAACCTAATCAAATCTAATATAATCTAATATTTTAACAAATTTAATTTAATATTCCAACACAAACCCCATAATCCAAGTTGTCGAACATCCTCAAAAATAGTCAATTTGAATTATTCCTAATTTCTTTCTCAAATTCAGGAAACTGTCAATCTTCAATCTTTTGGTGAAGATGTCGGCCAACTGTGTTTCACTTGAGCAATGTCTAACTTCAAATTCACCTCGACTTACTTTTTCCCTTAGAAAGTGAAATCTAGCTTCGATATGCTTACTCCTTCCATGTAGAATTGGATTCTTCGTCAGATTTACAGATGACTTGTTGTCGATTTACAACACTAGAGGTTTCTTCACTTCGACAACCATTTCTTCAAGTACTGATCTGATTCAAATTGCTTGACAAGAAGCATAGGATCCGACTATATATTCAGCTTCGCAAGATAACAATGCCACTACAGGTTGCTTCTTCGAATACCATGATATTGAGGCACCAAATACTTGAAAGAAATATTCAGTTGTGCTTCTTCGATCTTCCTTATCTCCACACCAATCAGCATCTCACTACGGCATATAAAGGAATAAACAAATTTTTTTGCCATAGACAAGGCTTTAAAGCGTTGCCTATTCCTGCGATGTTATAAGTAAATGCAGCGCTTTTTGTCAATGTAAAAGTGCTGCTTAATGTAGCTTTTAGGCAACACTTTATTCAATAAACATTCTCTAAAGGCCCATATAGGCAGCGCTTTTTACATTAGAAGCGCTTTCTAAAACATCCCTTTAGACATCGTTTTTAAAAGCGTTGTGATGTATATTTTTGTTCACTTTTTTTTCTTCTGTTTTAGACAACGCTTTCTTTAAAAGCGCTTTCTATTCCCCACTATAGGCAACACATTTTTGTTTAAAATGCTGTCTAATGTTCACGGATTTTTTAATATCTACAACTTATATTTTAAGCACTCTCTACAAATAATCACTTAAAATAAGCGTTGTGTTTCAAATTTGCACCAGATTTCATAAATTTACAGCTTCAATCCAATAAGTATGCACCAAATTTATATATATTTATATATACAACTTTAATCTAATAATTTATATATACATAAATTTGATACAACTTGAATATATATATATATATATATATATTAGTTTTTTATTTATATATGCAAATGTACATATTACTATCTTCTAGAGTTGTTATCTTCTCTACTATCTTCTCTACAAACAACAACAATGAAGAATCCTAAAAGAACTTGTTATCTCTATATCTTCTACATATGCACCTACCTGAAACAAAACCAACAAAGGCATACTAGAACCAAGCTATATAACACTTAAATCTTATAACTATTATAATTTAACACAAACCAATATAACAAAAACAAATCAAGAATACGTTATAACCCACCATTAAAAATTCTTCAATTAATATCATGATATAAACAAAACTTTATTTGAATTTAAATCCAATACCATCATAACTAACCTTCCACATAACAACAACGATATTGCAACATAATTTACCACACTAATGACGACATAGTATCTCATCAAAATTCAAATTTATATATACTTAAAATTCTCATCAATGAAAGTGTCATAATACCTTATAAAATTCTCATCTCAATAATGTATCACCAATCCTCCTTAATTTAGTCCAATTGATCTTTCGAGTAAGTAGAAGACTTGTATTCATCAAAGTATTACATAATATAACATAATATGATTTAGTTAAAACTAATTAATTAGATGAAATATGTTAAATATTAAAATAAATCTTAAGTTAGAAACCCATACCATGATTGAAATCTCAATTTGATTTAAAAGAATAATTTCTTTCATAAAACTCAACATGAAATAACCGCAATCTATATCATTACGCTGACGAGGACACCACACATGAAAAAAATATACGAATATATATCAGGATATATAGTTTAACTTGTTTTATCAAGTAACATCACTAATATAATCAAAATTGTGAAAATATACTTGCACTCTGATCCATGTAATGTTGTTTGCTTTACTCTTTGGTACTTGAGTATCTATTTGTGATCGAAAAATTTATATAACTCTAACAAAATATAAACGAATATTTAGAACAATCTCACATAAATAAATAAATAAATATACAAACGAATATTTAGAACAATTTAACTTACGTATAAACCAACTTCTTCATATATGGGTATTTTGTCCAATCACCTTCTAACGAATCCAGATAATAATATAATTTCTCTTATAGGATTAATCACAACTAACAACCAGTGCCCACTGTAAGATTAACAAAGGTTAGATGAAAACTTTATACACAACACTAAAACACGAAATATTATAATAGATGAAGTTAGAATGAAAATCTAACCCATTGCCAGTATTAAATGATAAAAAAACAACTTTTATGTATCTTTGTTGGCCATAAATGCACGGACAAAGTACTTGTGCAGAACATATAAATACACTTGACCCCGTTCAACCCTTGATACTGTCACAATTTTATTTCCAATTAAATTTTTTCCTTCCTTCCTTTTGAAAATATGAGATTTAGGTAGTCCAATGGATTAACCATTAGACAAGTATTCAGTATAAAATTCAACCGCTTCTTCAATAATGTATCGTTCAACTATACAACCCTCTGGCCGACTTCAGTTTTTCACGTACCCTTTTAATATTTTTATATAACGCTTAATAGGGTACATCCATCTCATATAAGTTGGTCCACACAATTGTGTCTCTTTCACAAGATGAGCAACAAGATATACCATAATATCAAAAAATGAGGGAGGAAAATACATTTCAAGCTCACACAAAGTAATAACTATTTATTTTTGTAATATTGGTAAGATCTCAGGATCAATCACCTTACTACAAATTGAATTGAAGAAAAAACACAATTTAGTTATGGCGCTTCTTACTTTTTCTAGCAAAATAGAACCTATACTTATTGGTAGAAAATGCTCCATTATAACATGGAAATCATGTGTCTTTAAACTCTTTAACTTGAGGTCTTTCATAGACACAAGTCTTCTAATATCTAAAGAGGAACCTTCTGGAACTTTAACTTCACTTAGAAACTTACACAATATTTTTTCTTCTTTCTAGATAAAATATAAGCAGCAGGAGGTAGATATATTCATTTTCCTTTCTTAATGGGTCCTAATTCAATTCTTATTCCCATCTATATCAAGTCCTTTCTTGCTTTAAGGCCATCCTTATACTTTCCTTGAATATTGAGTAACGTACCAATAACACTTTCAAATACATCTTTTTCAATATGCATAACATCAAGAAAATGTCTTACATACAACAACTTCCAATATGGAAATTCAAAAAAAAATTGAACTCTTCTTCCACCCACCTTTGACTAGCGTATGTGCAAAAGACTTGCCAAACTGAGTACTTATATCTTTCACCTTTTCAAAAATTTGGTCACCTGTCAATGTAGGTGGAGCTCTACCATGTTTTGGATTTCCATTGAATGCCTTTCTCCATCCACAGTAG